AACTATCCGAAGCCGAACAGGAGTGGCTATAACTTCTTTTTCGCTGAGAAGCATTACAAGCTCAAGGCCCTCTATCCAAACAGAGAAAGGGAATTCACCAAGATGATCGGGCAGTCATGGAGCAGTCTCAGCCCCGAAGAGAGAATGGTAACGAGTGGTTTTTCTTTTTTTATTGTTGGATTTGTTTTGGCTTGTTGAAGAAGCAATTAATCAGTTGACGAGTGATGTGTGATTTGGTGTGTGGCACAGGTTTACCAGAACATTGGGTTGAGAGACAAGGAAAGGTACAAGAGAGAATTGAGGGAGTACAAGGAGAAAATGAAGCTCGGTCCGACGGTGGAGCTTTCGAGCGTTTGAGATTTTCTTGTTTGGCAATGGAAGAGAGGGAGGGTACTGTTATCACTTATTTGTTAGTTCATTGAATGAATATGGTTGTTGACCGACCCATAAGGCCATACTAATTTTCAAAGGGACTGCTCTCATTATGGAATTTCTTCGCTGCAAATGCTTTTTGCTGATTCAGTATCTCAGGATTCTTCCAGTTAAGATCGAATAATTCAGTTGTCCAAACTAAAATCGAATCATTTAGATTTGATGTTACTTTATGTTTACTGTATTTTTAATATTATTTTATGTGATGAAATTTAGAATAAAAAAACCTTCTAAAACATGGATTTACTGTTTAAAAATTAAAATTTCATTTGAACACGGCGTATTTTATCACATTTGTTGTATGGTTGATGCCGTGATGCCATGATGCCATTGTAGTTATCGGCTGCATATGCACGCGTGTTGAGTTGAAATATCTTAAACCGTACGATCAGTGTAAAAACTGGGAATATAGTAAGGGATCATTTAATAATGACACCGAAAAATTGGAATTTTGATCTTATACATTGTCAATCGAGTTGTTGCTTCTTCTCAATGGTGGTATTTGAGGCATTTCTAACTTCGTAATCCCGAATTAAACACATCATTATCTATAACAAAAAACCTATGACCAGGATAAAATATACTGACCAATCATGAGTCACGAGTGAAAAGAAGCAGCAACTCGATTCGAATCGAGGACTAAAAAAGTAAGGCAATATTTCAGAACAAATACTCGGTCAAGAGTTTAATATATTATGGATAAATTACATTTGCACACTTAAATTTTTTTCACCGAAAACTTAAGGGTGATTTTCCCAAGAAACAGAGAGCATAATGAAAGGTTATCACAATGTACGCCTATTTTATCCTTGCTTGAAATAGTACGATCAAACAATTTAAAAAAAATGCAGGATCCGTGTAAATCTAAAATAAATAATTTTAGCCTGCTATCAACTAATAGCATGCAGGGTGGAAATCATGACAAACATACGTAGTTGGGAATTTGAAAAGATGAGTTCAAGAATTTAGAAGTGGAAGCAGTTGGGATTGTTTTTTTTAATCAAGCATTCAATTGAAAATGTGGAAAAATAAAGCAATGCAAAAAGCAAGGAATATAGGGCAGAAAAAACCGCACGAGTTTTATTTGAGACGTGAATGTGCGGGCCAAAATGGCGATGCAGTATTGTCACGTTATGAGCCCGAAGATGCAGTAGAAGAGTAATTTGGCGAACATTGATAAATTTGAATGTAGTTTGCGGAAGACATTGGAGTGTATTTATTGGGCGAGTGATATTAATGGGTGGAGAGTGTGGTGGTTTGGTATCTGTTGGGTTATTCTACCATGGATGCCCATTGCCATACTAATCACTCCTGTTACCTCAACAGCTGAACACATCATGTTTTCACTAAAAATAAATTAACCGCTTTATTTCGTGGCTCTTTATATATATATATATATATATATATTATTAAGTCTAATTTTATTCCATGAGAAATTTCTCATACCAATTTAATTCCACTCATCTTTGAACATTTCAATAATAATAATAAAGTTAAAATATATAAAACCTTCCTCAACTTTAAAACAGCTGTATAGAATACAAATATCATCACCTTTAAATATTTAAAATTAACTTCTATTGTCTTTAATTTTGTTTTTCAAGGTCCTATACTATTAATTGCTATGTTATGTTATTGACGAAATTTGCTATATTAAATGAAGAAAAGCTACATAAAAACTTACTTGACATCTTATATAAGCAAATAATAAATGTAATTTAACTTAATAATAATAATAATAATAATGATAACGATAATGATAAATTGGTGTACTTTTAAGCACGATTTTCTTTCATGATCATTGCCAACAGGGCTTCTACACAATTCACCAAGAAGGTAGTCTATCTTATCCCACTTTCGTGATTATATTTTAACCCGTTAACTCTTTCTCCTGCCTTGAGTCTTGCCTGTTAGTTGGAAATGATAGGAATAGAATTGGATGCAAATTGTGATGATAGAAAATAAAATGATAATGGATATAAATAGATTTTACAAGATAAGTGCAATCAATAATTAAAAAAAAAGTAAGAATAAGGATTTACATGAAATTTTTTCCAGAAATGATAATTACTGTGGAGAACACTATTCCTTTTATTTTTTACATGAATGATAAAAACACTATTCCTATTACTGTGGCCGAACCAAGTATTATGCCAATATTAAAATAAAATACTGTGGGTAAGAATCCACAAAGAAAATTTTGGGGTTCTTTTAGTTTTTTTAACAATTAACAATTTAGAAAGGATTTTCATGCATATTAAGAAGCCAAAGTTGTTTGGTATTCTCACTTTTTTTTAAAGTTGATTTCAAAAAATCCATTCATCAGCATAAATGGGAGTAGCTTTTATATTTGAAAAAGTCAGTTAAAGCTTCAAAATATCTTAAATGATACTCTCTCCGTCTCATATTATAAGACACTTTTAAATAAAATTTCACATATCAATAAATCTTATTAAATACACTCAACAACCTTATCTTTTCAAAATAAAAATATATATATTTTAAAAATATTTATTATTTAATATATTAAAAAAAGAAGAGACGGAAATTAATTATAAAAAGAGAAAGGATAATATTAAAATTAGTGCATTTAATGAACTTTAATTTACTTAAAGTGTCTTATATTTTAGAACAAAAAAAACTCCTTCAAAAGTGTCTTATAATTTAGGATAGAAGGAGTATCTTTTTACCATATCACCCTCTCCATATGTCATAAAAGCCTCTTCATTATGAATAACTTGCATGAATAAAAACTCAACTCAATTAATCCAATATAGGAAGCGTTTAATTCAATGTTTTTATTATTCAAAATTGTATATTATTTACAAAATTTTTATTTTTATTATATAAATTATTCAACATATAAAATTTTTTATATTATTCACGCATTCTGTTATTATTTAAATTACTTACCATATTAAATTTTATCATTTGTATATAAAAAAGTTACATATTAGAAAATTAATATCCTTTTTAGTAATTATGCATTTAAAATCACTTCTCATTATATCACATTTCATTACATTGCATTTGTATAACAAAAATTACAAATAATTATAAATTGATATTATTTTCAGTAATTATATATTCAAAAATATTTTTTATTAAATATAATTTAAATAATTTTTAATTTATCAAAATGGTTTTAAAAAAATAAATCTAACCGTAAATTTCATTGTAACAATTTCACTAAACAATTGACCAAAGGAAAAAACAGAGCACTTAGTTTCTTTTGTAATCCACGCCAGCGACGTTGTTTACATGTAGCATTTAACAACATGTACTCGTAGTCTAACATCGGCTCCAAACCATATACACTTACTTCTCTTATCCTATCTATATAATAAAAAAAAATGAATTTTATTTATAAAACACCTATCAATTTTTAATATTTTTTTTATATTTTTACTCTTATTAAATATTTTAAATAAAAATATTAATAATAAAATTTAAAAATATTTATTAAAAATAAACGTAAAAATTTATTAAATTTTAAAAGGAAGTTAATGAAATTTAATAATTTTTTAACTTTAATAAATTGTGTTAAAATAATTTATAAATAAAAAAAATAGGTGTCACATCACAACTAACAGTATCGCCTCCCACAGAAGTGATTAGAAATGCTTTCTTCCATCATCCTACACATCTCGTCAACGACCACACTTGCATTGATCCAACTTTTGGTGGATAAGAACAAGCATAAGCATGGCTATTAAACTTTTAAGTTGATTTTTTAAATTTAACAATTTTATATTTTTAACTTATAAAATTATCTTACCAAACTCATAAATTTATATTCAATATAAACTTGATTAAACTCACAAGTTTATAAATAAGTTTATCATTTTTATATTTTTAACTTATAAAATCATGTCAATTAATTTATAAATTCATACTAAATATAAATTTAATTAAACTTATTAAGCTCGTTGATTTTTTATCGAGTTGAGCAAATTAAATATATACTATGTAGAACTCAATTTATAGAAGTGATAGGAGCTGATTCAAAAAGAAAAAGAACTTAAAAAGCAAAAATTAATATTAATAAAAAAAGAAAAAGATATGAAAAATAAGTTACCTTATTGTAAATTTTTATGTTTTGTATGATAATCTATCAATGTAGATAGATTTAATTTTAATAATTTATATTTAAAATATATTTAAGTCATAATATTTTATATTTTAATTGTTTAATTATATATTTTTAATGATGATCTATTAATAAAAATAAATTATTATGAATTTATAATTTGAGTTTATAATTTATTTTAAGCAAAGAACATCTTCTGATTGGTCGGGCGATTAAAATAATTAAGTTAAAAGTTTATTAGTGGTCACCCAAGGCAATAAAGTGACAGCACCATTTGCCAATGAACTATTAATTGCTGGGAGGAGCATTAAGTTATCTTCTGACTCCTTCATAAGGAATAATTGCCCGGCCAAATGCACCATAAAATTAGATAAAGCGGTTTAGTGGTTTTTTAAAATTATTTTATCGGGTCAAGATCTATTTGTATCTGACTCTGAAATATCAAGGATGCATATACTGTTGTGAGAAATGACTCAAACAAAGTACGCCCACAGCCTGGTTTCAGGGTTACGGTTTGGTGGGTGATGCTATCGAAGCGATTATATTTATATGCACACAGAAGCCTTATTGCGTTGTTTGGAACAAAAGAGTTGACACAAGCAAAGTAAAATGGCCTTGTTCAAAGTCCAAGGCGACGCCTGTCCCTGCGATGCGTATTGTGTCCCGCCATGGACCTTCGCTTTGTAAGACGAGAACAAAGACTCCAGTGCAAGCAATTGACGAATTGTCCTTTCTGCCCCCATCTAATTGCATCGCGAGCCTGTTATATTTTCTAATTCAAATGAAGTCCTGCATGATTCATGCGGATATTAAACGGCGGAATAATAGTCGGAAGCAGAGGCAGAAGGTTGAAGTTTAAAACGAGGTTCTTACTGGACTTAAGGAATTGAATGTCCGGGAGGCTGCGGTTCCTGCCTTTGCAGATGACCTCTGGACGCATTTCTATCGACTTCCACCTAGGTACTTCTCACTCTTTTCAATGCTGCGCTTTCCTGTCGCTCACTGTGTTTCAGAGACCCGAAACTAGTATTGATCGCTTGATGTAAAACTCATAATTCTGATTCTTTTTCTTCTTTTTTGGGTTTTCAAGCTCTTTATATCTTCCTTGGGCACTTGGGAATCGCTATTACTGGTTCTTTTCTCTACCATTGCTTTCTTAAAGCGATCAAGACTTGAAGGGTTTTTGAATTATATTGTTTGTGCATTGAGCCTTTTGTAATTTGTAACTATACACGCGATAGGTATGCCGTGGATTTGAATGTGGAGAGAGCTCAAGATGTTATTATGCATAAAAGGCTGTTGCGTATTGCACATGATCCTGCTACCAGACCTGCTGTTGAAGTCCGTCTTGTTCAGATAATTTACATTTATGTGACAAATCGTAGCAGATGAAGTTTGACCCTCGATGCTTGTATCGTTTTCTTTTCATTTACGCTCCACTGGACTAGCAACTAATCATCTTGTCGCTGCATCTTTAATGGAGACATAGAGTAGTCTGTACCGTGTTTTCGATACTGTATGTAGATTTAAGCGGTTCTATTTTCTGAGCTTAGATTTTCCTGCTCGTGACGCTTCCCGTGTATCTCCTTGTGAACTGTGACACTTTTTTAAGACGAGGAATAAGTTTCCCTTCTGCAACGCTATTTTGGTTATTTATAATTAGTACGAATAGCACGTTCCCGTTTATGGAGATTGCCATTTTCTGATTTTAGTAGAATAGTAGTATCATGACGATTTTCTTCTTTTGACCAGGATATGGCAACCTTGCTGGTACCTGTATTTGCCAATTGATTTGCTAGATCTTGGCGATATATCTTTTATGCAGGGTCGTTCAGCTTCTGGTGTGAACTGTGAATTCCAGTGATTTCTCTCATTCAAACACGCAAAGAAATGTCTGTCCTCAAGATTCTCATATTCCAGGCAACATGAGGCATGATTTTTAATATTTGAATCGCTGCATACATTTATTGGCATTCTACATTTCCTCTCTGTACTTTCTGCATTATTCGTACTTTCTGCTTCTTTTTCATGGGTTTCATCATCCATCCTGCTCCAGCCTTTGGTTCCTCAGGAACTTTGAACTTGCTCTTGAAGCAAGACAGTTTCGACTTCGAGCTGACGGTGACAATTTGAAATTCTACACCCATTATTCCCGTAAAACTTCGATGATGATTGTTACTTTCTAATTCTTCTACGTATCTGTTCTATGACCATCATATTTCCCCTCCTTTCTAATTCTCTATTTCTGATCGCTGTAAGAGGTGTCATACTCCTCATATCTATTATTGTGATTTGCTTACACTATATTGCTCTTTATCGGTTTCTTGAAACTATTAAATGAAATGGCAGACCAATGCATGAGATCACGATATCAAACAAACGACATGCCAAACCTTCTAAGTCAGGTAGCTGACCTTGATTGCTGTGCAAATATTTCTTAGCTT